TTTCAAAAAAACAAATTCTTCCATTTACTTTTAAAACCGATTGCAAGTTGTAGCTAAACCTTTTTTCTTGAGACGTGCAATTTCAAAAGGTTTTCAGTTTCTTTGAAAAATTGGCAATAAGAACCCCTATCACAAGGCTGTCTGAATATGGGTACACACTATGTATAACATCAAAATAATATCCAAACTTATCATTTTATAGAATTTATTATATGGAACATACAGCATACAAGCATTTGGAGTAGAACATTGACAAAATCCAGCTATGTATGAAGTTTACCTATGCAAATCTAGAAAACATTGTCATTTTTCGTTCAATTTGTTATCAAGTTTTAGCATGGTGCTCATTCCCTTTCATTGAAAATTTGACCATCAGCCCACACTCCCACAAAAAAGATATTGAAACAGTATGATGCAGAGACTGTAAAGTAGCTTCTCTGCAAATATCATTGTTGTGGGAGTTTGGGCTCACCACTAAAACGTAAGTTTTGTGAAGAAAATAAGGCTGACTGGTTTATGTTTTCAATATGGCTGCTAACCTGGGCATACATGTACTCTACATTACTGTATGTACAGATTAGGCCATTCAAAATTAATTATATGTTGCATTCTGAAGAAGAGCCTTATATTAAAAACTTCAAAACCTTTATTTATTTAAAGGGTTTTAATATTATTTAATAGTGAAAATGCAATAACACATTGTGGCAAAGCAAACAACACACCCTTTGATTCAGATGACCTCGTTAATACAATACTGAAGCTTATAAACATGTAGTTTTTAATCAATCTTGAGGAACTCATTTCACTTCACGACAATCATTTCCCTTTATCATTTATATGCATTGCAAGTACAGAGTACATGGGAACATCTTGTTTTTTCCTGAAAGCGTAGAATTTAGTGACATTAATTATGAAAACAATTTGAATGGCCTAAGTGTTTGTTTATTAGGGAATAATTATAAATTATTTTAGGCAATCCTTTTATACATGATGCTGCCTTATATTTTATGATATATATTGAAAGAGGATTTCTCTGAATTATTTGTGTTTCAAATATGGGAACTGCAAATTGACAAATAACTTTAAAATTAAGTGTCCACACAGACATTTAATTCAAAATGCCAATGGGCTTTTATTAAAAGTGACCCTATAACAATTTAGAATATGACAAACATGTTTAGAAAACTGGCGAGAAGCAATTGAAATAAGAAAATCCATTCTCATTGAAGTGCCCTTTTGTGCATTTATCATTTTATCCTAATTGCCCATGGGCATTTAAAATAATAATCTCCTCCCAAAAGTCTCAAAAGGCAACAAGAACATTCATTTTTGAAACAAGAAAATTTAGTCCCCCTAAAAATGCCCATATGGGGATTTTTATTGCCCGTGAGCATTTATTAAAAATATTTTTATTTCCATTCCAAGTTCTTATTATCAGTCACAATCAAAATTAAGCCAAACGCATTCATTTCTTGTATCAGAAAATGGTAAAATTTTGAAAAAGATAGCATCTCTCGAAGTTGACCACCCTAGAGTCAAGGTCAAATGTCAAAACTCTCAGAAATCACATTTCAAGTAATAAGTCATACTTCCTCTTCAATTCCATGTCAATATACACTTGTTTTGAATCTACTTTCAGCGCCTGCAGCAGTAAAGTATGAGTGCAAGGTTCGGGAAGATGATCTGAAAGGTGCCTATACCTATACGCTTCCAGAGGACTATCACCAACCTGACAATGACATTACAATAGTATGTCGTCAGATATTAACCGAGAATGGATTGGATTCCCCTAAAGATCACCAGGATGCAAAGGACACATACATTTTACTACGGGAAAGTGTAAAACATCTATTTAACTGAATATTTTTCAAAATCGTTAGAGCCAACAAAAACAATACAAAAATACAATACCAAAATGGATGAAATTGTTGAGATTTGATCAACTTGATTAGTTACGAAGAAATGAGGATTTAAACAAGGGTGCCATTGACTTCATGTTGCATATCTACATGTAGACATGGACATTAAAGCTTTAAAGAGAGAATCAGATCAAGCGAGACGCCCATCAAAAAGCTAGTAATATCTTAGAATATTACTTGCTTAAATGTCATTCCTTTTCATGTCTATTTTCTAAAAATCCCCTAGTGCACACTTTATATTAGGAAAACTAAAGAGTTTTACAATAATGTATAATTTTTTGGAGAATTCCAACATATCTCATCCATTTTTTCACTTTGAATCCATAATAACTTAACCAATTTGTAACATATCGTGAATCTTTTTGGAGATATTCTATTTCAGATTGTGAGGAATAGATTGGAAGCTCAATTGTACATGTCTCTTGTAATTTTGTCACCCCCATAGATCTGATTTGTAATAACTAAGGCCTTTTTAAAATTTGTTATAACTAAGGCCTTTTTAAAAAAGGATGAGTCTAGATATATGCCCTTTTGATTCCTCAGTTAAATGTTTGTGAAATATTGTTTTTATTTTTATTACTTTCCTAGTTATATTTGATAACCTGGGCATACATGTACACTACATAACTGCATGTACAGATTAGGCCATTCAAAATTAATTATATGTTTGCATTCTGGTGAAGACCCTTATATTAAAAACCACAAAACGTTCATTTATTTAAAGGGTTTAATACATTATTTAAGAGTGAAAATGCAATAACACATTGTGCCAAAGCAAGTAACATACCTCTCGAGTTCAGATGACCTTGTTAATGAAGTTTATTTACATGTAGTTTTTAATCAATCTTGGAACTATTTCACTACAATATAATCCAGTATCACAATTCCCTTTGTCATTTATATACATTATGATAGTAGTAACTTGAGGGCGTCAACGTGGTAGCCTGACGTCCGTCAACATCAGGGATTGGTTGTAAATAAACATTTACATTTGTAAATAAACATTTATTATTGTATGTGTCTTTTATATGTTTAACAGATTTTTTCCCATCTCGACTGAAATTTTTGGCAAGAGCTGGATGCTTTAACTTAGGAGCCGATAGGAAGCGCTGGAAAATAAGTGATGGCCTTTGCTCGAACTGTAATTTGAAGGTCCCAGATACAAGTACACATCGCTTTCTCTTTTGCCCATACTTTACTAATGAAAGAAATTCTTTTATCAAACAACTTTCAAAAACATGTGATGCTCTTTTAGTGTCTTGAGTTCCTACAATTACCCCCTGACCTTAAAATACAATATTTGCTTGGGGATGATGTTTTTATAATGTGGGGGAATGAAATAGGAAAACAATTTGACAATTGTTTTAAAACGTTTTCAACAGAGGTATACATACCATATTCTGGAAAACCATGATTACCATTATTTTAGTAAATTATAGGTTTTTATATGTACATAATCTTTTAACGAATGTCGACGCTCCTTTCATACTATATATGAATGCGAGCCACTGTTTTAAAAGTGTAAGTCGAAATAAATAAATAAATAATAAATAAATATGTATTGTAATAATTAATTATTATTATCTCCAAAAATGGAGGCGAAATAAATATAATAATAATAATAAAAAGTAGAGAGTACGTGGGAACATTTTGTTCTTTCTGAAAACATAGAATTTAGTAACATTATTATAAGAAAATCTTTGAATGGCCTTAGTGTTTTTCTAAATAGGGAATAAGGAGAAATTATTTTAGGCAATCCTTTGATTGTCATGCCACTTATACATGATGCTGCCTTATATTTTATGATATATACTGGAAGAGGATTTCTCTGAATTATTTGTGTTTCAAATATGGGAACTGCAAATTGGCAAAAAACTTAAGTGTACATTCAAACATTATATTTCAAATGCCAATGGGCATTTGGTTAAAGTGACCCTATAACTATTTAGAATATGGCAAACATGTTTAGAAAAGTAAAGAAGTTTAGAGAAGCAATTGAAATAAGAAAATCTATTCTTTTTGAAGTGCCCTTGTGTGCATTTAATTGCAGTCATTTTATCCTATAATTGCCCATGGGCATTTAAAATAATAATCACATCCCAACTCTTAAAACATGCTTAGGATACTGATAGAGCCTCAAAAGGCAACAAGAACATTTAGTTCCCCTAAATATGCCCATATCGGTATTTATTCTTAAGATTTTCAGGTAATTGCCCATGATAATTTATTTCCATTCACATGTCTTATTATCAGTCACTATCAAAATAAAGCCAATTGCTTTCATTTTTTGGATTAGAAACAGTAAAGTTTTGACAAAAATAGCAACTCTCAAAGTTGACCTTTAAACCACCCTAGTGTTAAGGTCAAATGTCAAAACTCTCAGAAATCACATTTTAAGTGATGAGTCATACTTCCTCTTCAATTCCATGTCAATATATACTTGTTTTGTTGTGGGGCTAAAAGAGGGGTTTACCGCCACCTGTCCTTTGATTGACTTTAATCCCTTGATTACCCAGATAAACACCAATTCACTTATCCAGAAATACCATTCAATGTCCATACAAAAAAAGTTGGCGATGTTTTAGAGGATATGCTTCAAACTTTTTGTATAAATTATTCAGTTAATAGTTGCTATTTTTTTTTCAATTCTGGCAAAGCGATATGCATTGTCTTTGATGCCAATATTCTTCATCATTTGTGATACCAATTGACATTTTTGAAATCTCAGAAGGATAAGATATTGAAGTTTAATAATATGTGTGATTGAGTTGGTGTATCAGACATTACAATTTTCAATATTTTCTAAGTCGATACCCAGACTCATCCTTTGGGTTAACACTACTATGAGCTTTCTGTATACAGATTACCAGATAATGTCACTATGAAGACAACTGGGTATTGATTTAGCAGAAGTTGCCATTTGAAGAATTCTAAATAAAGAAAATGTGTTATACTGTACATCTCTCAAATTAATGCCAATGTCAGTGTAAAGGAATTGCTCCAAGATCCATATTTTTGTAAATAAAAGATCAAACTGACAATATTTCCTTGATGATATTTAGCGAACAATAGCAGTGCAATTAAGTGTGTAATCTAACTTTATTATCCATAGGATATACATGTTATGGAGTGCATGAGGTATTAAGTATAGTCCTATTTTGCAGTGTTACTCATAGTTGGTTACAGTTCCAGTGTCTTGAGCCTGAAAATAGAATAATAGTAATATCTGGTTAATGGGTCATAAAATAGGACTTGTAAAATAGTTATGAATTTATTAAAAACTAGTGATTTCTACTAGAGTGTCACATGGAATTACTCCTCTGATGTACATGTACAGCGTATTATAATCAGTGTGTTGCAGAGGAGAGGAGGGTGAAAATGTTCCCCCTTTTTATACTAGTGTTAATTATCATATTGCTTGGCATTACCTTCACAATAATAACGTCTGTTACTAGTATTGGTTCTTTCAAAACCTGATCATCAAGGTCGAATAGTTCGTAGCTTTGAGGCACCCCCTCTTGAGAGCATACCACATGGTGAAGATCCTAGAAAATATTAAAATATATATGTCTTATGCTTCTTGTTAATATTGCTTAAGCATTTTCAGATGAATTATGCTTCAAGGGCTAATGATTAACAAATTAGCCAATCAACTAATCCATCAACCTGTCAACAGGTGGAAGCCATTCCTATATAATGCCCTCTGGCGATTTAGGGATGCTTTTGTAATTGTATTTTAAACTATATCAATGAAATAAATAAATAATAATAAAAAAAAAAACAGGTGGAAGCTTGCAAACATAACCCAAATAGAATGTAATGTTCCAAAATCACAACGTTATTGCTTGAAGTGAATATTTTATTACCCTGGGGTTAGACAATTACAATTTCAATATATGGAGGAAATAAGTATACGTAAGCATACACTGAACGAAAAAGGCATATCTCCGCATCTCTTGCAGCCTGAAGCTTGATATCATGAAACAAACTACATTTTCAAATTCCAATTATCTCACACTAATTCAATAAGACAACTTACTTCTAAGGTCAACATGACTGGCACGAGTAATTTTGTTGCCATATCATTCATGATGATATGTATATAATGCTTTCCTGGTGACTTTATGATTTCCAAGTACCGTTCTGTTGATATCTGAGGGAAATAAAATACAGTAGGCATTATCTATTCAGTATGAAATTTAGTATTAACAATCTAAGAAACATTCAATTAATTTTTTCTAGCGAATGGTTAAATATTGTGACTGCATGAAGCAATTTCATTCAAATATAAGCTTGAGCAAATGAATTCTGTAGTTCAAAGACAGCTACCCCCTGCCCAACATGGTGATTACCAAAATACGGATCAAAAAGAATATGAATACTACGATTACTCAGATGCGAGTAGGAAGTTACCAGTTTCGCCACCAGGTGGCTAATTGGGAGGAAATGACATGGCAGTGTATTACAAAGTTCCCTTAAACTTGAATATTCACCAGTTTTAGTGGCTCACTAGTTCTACAAATTGAAATATGTCCAGTAAAATAAAATATTATCTGCCAAACACCAAAAAAATTATTTCACTTTTTGTGATTTTACAACATGGGGTCTATGGGGAATTTCCCCGACAAAAAAGACACATTTTCAAAGAAAATTAAATTTTAAAAGTTGATGAATTCGTTTCAAAACTTCATTTCTAGATCTAATTTTACATGTAGATTCCAAAAATGACATCAGTATGAGTGAATTTTGAATTTTTGACCTAAATCAAGATTATTTCTCCTTGCATCTAGTGTAATTGCATACATACTTGCTTTCTGTGCTTGACTTTTGTATTCTTTGTATCACTGCTAGGTGCATCCTGAACATAAAATACAAAAAGATAATGAGATAATTTAAGAAAAATAAGAAAAAAATGTGTGCTTGAGAGATGATCTTAGACTTGATGCATTCGCCTTTGTGTATGACAATACTTATTAAAAAAACTACATAGATGTTGACAGTGTAAACAAAAAACATAATTAGAGTTCTAAAACATTGAGAAAGTATTCTTGATAAACTTATATCATAGTGACATGGTAAAGTGTATATACCTTTCTTTGTTTTGTGTTAGGTGATTCGAGTGTTCTTCTCTGAAAAAATAATACTTTAAGAGTGAATATTTGAGATCACACAAATAACAATGTGTTATATATCACAATGTGGTGCATTGAAGTAAGTTTAACATCTGGGTTGTCCAAGTCATTTGAATATATATTAGTGGTGCAGGTTGTGAAGAAAATTAGCATTTACTCGAATATGAACACTGGACCCTGGAATCTACATGATTATTCAAGACTCTCAGTACATTGATAACACGACTCAACAACTATTTTGAGCATCACTAATACACTGTATATATCCTTGAATTGTAGCCATTCATGAAATTGAAATGAAGTTTATCTGAATACCAATTTTGAGAATGGATAAGGCTTCACACCAAATGTGGATTTCATTGAAATTTTACATTTAAATATACCTTTGTCACTTGAATGTCAGGAAGGTCATCTTTTAATTTCCTCTTTAGAACAGGCGTTTGCATCTCCTGAAATTAAAAATGTATTATTCTACCACAATGAAGTTTAAGTGGCTGGTAGTAATATCCCATGTACAATACACAAAGAACATACAGGGTGGTCCAAAAAAAAGTGAACCCCTGCCACTGGCCATATTTCCCTTATTACATGCAGGAATCCTTTCATTTTTTTCACATGTTGTAGAGGAAGGTCTAAAATTCTCAGAGGTTTGGTCACGGGGGATAACTTTGCCCCCTCTAACCGTTTGTTTAGGTAACATGCCCTTTATCTGTTGAATGGTTACAACTGCTTCAAAATGGTCAATGAAAATGTAAAATGTGTTTTCTGCTCAAATAATGCTCCATTTGTCATATGGTATGGTTTAAACTTATATCTTCCACTGAAATATTTTTTTAAGATCATCCGATGTGTTTCAACAATTTCTGTGTAAAGTTAGTAAAGTTTTGCACAGTATCTAATTTTAGGCAATTTTGTATAAGTCTTGTAATTTCTTCAAAATTCAACACTGCGAATAAATTATGGTGTCAACAAAAATTTTAGTAATTTATAAGCATAATTATATAAAAGCTGGTCAGTTTAATTATCAGACAGATCATAGCCCATTGCTACAGGCTGCTAAATAGGCAGATTAACCCATTATTAAGGTCAGTGACTGGGGTAGAAGCGAGAGGTGTCAGTTAATAGCATGCACAGAAGGTACTATTAATAATCAAATGAGTTTGCCCTAAAATTGCAATCAAGGCGGTAGACGCTTAAACCAGATGATCAAATGGAATGATCTAACTTACCTTTTTTACAACAGCACTCTGACTGTCTAAAACAAATGCTATTTCTGGGTCTTCCTATAACAGAAGAAAATAAATATAACTACCATTTAAAAATGTGAAAGTGACTGCTCAACAGAGTAGCAAAAATATATTTCCTTCAATAAATACTGGTATATGTCTCTCACTCAATATTTTTTTAATCTTGCTATAAGGAAAATGTTAAAAAGGAAATAAGCCATTAAACTTTAACTGATAGGGAAATTCCCAAAATGTTCAAGGGGCTGTGAATTGTTATAATAAATTCGCATTAAATCAATGATAAAACAGTTGATGGAATAACATACCAAAAAATCATCATCACTGCTTACTTCATATGGGTCTTTAAACTCTGGGTCCTAAAATTATAAAAGTGGGCTTTCAAACAATGAATAACTCAATCCAATGAATAAATAGTTTTACACATCTATTTCTTGAATAAAACCTTTGTCAATGTCTATAACCATTTACAAGTATTATGTGTTAGTTCTATAAAGGATACTTATAATTTGAAGAAAATGATATTTATTGACATTGAGAAAAATTGCGACGACAGGAACATAAAATATATACATTTACAAGTATGCTTGATATTTGACAGGTACAGGTTATATGAGTCAAAAATTGTTAATGCTAAATAAAGTAATATTTCACGAGGAAAAATTAAATATTCATTTCCAACCTCTCATGGTTTAGAATGTTTGAATATGTTAATTTCATTTGCACATACCATGGAAACAATTTCATCTCCAGATGTAGATGTAGAAGTTCCAGCTTTTGGACACTTTGGAGGAGACATTGCTGAGGCGGACACCTTTGAAGTTATGCTTGATGTAGAAGTAGCTGTTGGTGGTTCTACACCTGTCTTCTTAAAGATGATTGAGTTATAAATTAATGGTTTATAAGAACAGTATGTGATTTATAGAAGGTATTCAGATTTTGGGGTTTTTGCATCCCAAGATTTTGGAATTTGAAGTAATATTTAGCTCATAAGTTTTGACATAACAAATCATTTTTTAAGTAATTTTGTAAATATTAGAGAGATTTCGCACATAAGTGAAAGTACAACTTATACGTATACATATAGTTTAAAGGGTCATGTCGAACTATTATATTTACTCAAATCAATTTTAAATTGTACTTAATGGAACATAACTATTCCCGTTATAGAAAATCTCCTTCAACTAGAGACTGTGAATGCACTGTCATCTGCACGTGTAGATTATGCACATTATAATTAAATGCTTGCTTCCATGTCCTTGTAGTTGTAGTGTATTATAAACACGATCCTTTAAAGTGAGTCATGATTCTTTAAAGTGAGTCATTACATAACCAAGTTGATTATTTCAATGTTTTCATGATCAGTATAAATTCAATGCACTTACAAAACGGTATATTTACGTAGATGATAACGTATACAGTTGGATCTCCATATAAAGATTTGCCTACATGTGTGTGGAACAATTGACCGCAAGCATTTTTGAAATTAATTGGCTGAGTGGGAACAGTATCCAATCAAATACTTTAACCATCAATTTGAAACACCAATCAAACCAGTAGGTTCTAGCAATTCCTGGAAACGACCCAGTCAGTAGCTCAACATATGACATACAGGGTGTTTCATAACGAGCATCTCCAAAAGTCAATTTGAGAAGAGATGGTTCTATAACATATGTACTATATATGAGCCTATTTTATTCTAGACAAACACATTTGGATCAACTAAATATGCTACAATTCAAGAAATTACAAATGGCATCCCTTTGACCTGTATTTATTACAGTCCGAGAAGATCTTTCCTGACGAAAAGCCCACATTATGAAACACCTTGTACGTTTACCTATAAGTATAAGTATACGTTATAAGTTGTACTTTCACTAGATGCGAAATCTCTCTAATATGTGATATTTTGTAACTATCTACGTTAATTTTTCATGTATTAGTGTTCACTGCTCAAATTAGGAAGTGTTCAGATTTCAAGTTTTTGTGAAGAATATAATTCAGGTGTTCAACATACAGGTTTCACTGTATACTCAATATAAGTACAAAATACTGAAATATAGTGCAAGAAATACATAACTCCATTCCACTAAACAAAACATATTAATCAAATTTTTCGTCATTACATGATATATGTAGAGATTTTTTAATGGGAGGTTTTTCATACTGGGTATATCTGAGGGAAATACAATATATCAATCGAGGGACCGTAGGAGCACAGAGGGTTGATATATTGTATTTTCCAGGACAGTACCAGCATAATGTTCTCCCCAGGTGTTCTTCTCAAGTTGTTTTTTTATGTTCTTATTTCTGTATTTGCAAATGGGTGCAAAGGAATTTTTGGGGAGAGTCTAAGTTGCTTCTCAACAACCCAGCATCCACTTTTTTTATCAGAGTGATAATTATACTGTGATATCACTTCTGAAATCCCCAAAATAAATATCATAACTTAACTACAATACCACTAGATAATGGTGAAACCAAAGCATATAAAATCCCATCAAACATTTGGGATAACTATTGAACAGATAAAACGTAAAGCGAGCACAAATACAGTTCAACTACATGCATATTGTTCATTGCACCTCTTATAGTATTAGAATTTGTTGGCTAGTACTTCAATCTAATCAATCCACATGATTGATTGTATTATTATCTTGCTGTTTGTCATTCTCTGACTGCTTAAAATAAGAAGAAGGTTGTGAGGTATCAAAAGGTGCAATAAACAATTACTATGAAATAATAATTTACCATGCCAAAGCTGTTCTCAATCATTTTTTTACCTGGCAAAATATGCAATTTAATAATTCATGTAGTTTGTCAATTTTAATAATACAATTTAGGGAAAATAAGCAATGTATAAGTATTGTTACCAATCAGAATATATTTGAAAGCTGCAGTAGGAAAAACACTAGTAACCACGAAACATTAGTTTGCACTATATCAAAGCAAATTACTTTAACCTACTTGCAGTTGTTCTGATATATAACCTCCTGAAGTCTTTCTTCACATTCCTAAGCATGTCGTAGGATAGTTTCCCTGGTACCTTTTGACTCAGAACTCCATTGGAGTCATGTGTTACAATAGAGAAATCTATTCCTGGTATCTGTAAAATTGAAATATATTAACAAGGCATTACAGACAAAATTTCACCACCTATCATTTGTTACAGATGCCAACTATCGCCTGCCAAACATCAAGCACCGCACACCATCCACAAAAATATATAATCATATATAACTAGGAAATGGCAACCCCACGGATTAGCAAATCCCAACGAACAAATTTCCATTACTCTGTACCAGTATATGTCTGATATTATATTTACCATTTACTTTAACCTTCATTTGCAGATAATGAGACAGACATATAACTAAATATAGCCATATTTTGAAAGGAATAGAATTTTTTTTTCAAAATTCCACACTTGGCAGCCATTTTTTATTTTTTGAGGCACGAATCAGATATATAAATGTGAATTAGTATTTGAGTAAAGTGTTCGAGTTATCATCCCGAGGGAAGTTTAGATGGACTGACAGACGTTATCTGTTAATGCTGCATCAGTGTCTTCATTCATTTTCTTCTTTCTTTGTCATTTGTTGCAGCTGCATCAGTGCTTCATTCGTTGTCTTCTTCTTTCTTTGTCATTTGTTGCTGCTGCATCAGTTGTCTTCTTTCTTCTTTCTTTGTCTTGATTTGATTGTGTTTTCTTGATGTATTCACAGACTTGAGACTACACGTAGGTGGGTTAAGCGTTTTTGATCCAGCCGGAAAACACTCCCTTCACCCCCTGGTGTTCTTATGTTGTCTCCTGACGGTTCCTTTCTCTTACTTGTGATCGGTCTTCTAAATAGTCTTCTCATAACTCATAATATCCATGTACTTTTTCATAATCATTTGTTAATGTTGTCTTCCCTGACTAATTTTCCAGTGCTTCATGATGATACTTTCCTGCATATTTTATTTAATACATATTAGACAGACAGATGGAGGACTTCATTATATCCCTACCAAACTTCATTCGTTGGGATAACAACATGTCACCACATGAGTAGTGAGTAGTTAGAATTGATAATTGATATAATATATGATAATATATGATATAATATTGATAATAATGTATTTTTACTACAAGTTTATCATTAGGATGAAAACCCTGTGTTTTATGTCATCAATAATATTAAGCTTTGAGACAAATGAAAGTCGAGACAAATAGCTCTGTATTTTCTGCTTTAGATTTAATTCTTAATTGTAGGCAATTGACTTACAAGTGAGTTGATCATCGCTACCCATTCCTCACTTGTTTCAGACTCATCTGCCTGAAGAATTATGAACTTGTGGGCTTGTGAGAACTGTATGATCTTAGGCTTGATGTCTTCGCCTTTCTTTGTAACCAAATGAACATGTATGGTCTGAAGAAAAGAAAGTATAAATAATGATTAATGTTTTACACTTCACTTTTGAACAAATTTTGCCAGATTTTATTCCCTTTTATTCCCATGATAAGATTCCTTAAACATAAATGCTATTTAAAATAAGCATTGAAGTTCTCAATCAAAAAGCAACATTTTAAAATGTTGGTTTAGGCTGTACCACACTGTATTAAATGACTTAAGCCAAGGATTCAGTGACGAGGGATTTTATGCATGACGGTCTTGAGACTGAATGAGCCCAAATTCGAAGTATGCAATATCACTGCAGTTAGAATTCACAAAATGAAACTTGGAAAATAATGCATTTGAGACATCATCGATTACAATTTTACAATCTAGAAAACTCTTACTCGTTTGCTTGTATCAGTCTTTTTAACCTCATCTTCAACTTTCACTTTCACAGTCTTTTCCCCTTTTTTCTGGTTAATATCTTTCTCCCGCCTTTCCATTAATCTATTTAGAGCGTCTTGTGCTGCATCTAAAGTAAAAGCTTTGGGTTATTGAAGTATTTTTTTGGTGTTAATAGCTATACCAACACAATGCTAATAGACTGAATAAGCAAGAACTCTTCAAATAAGAAAAATCCTAATCTACCAGCTGTCCTACATGTATTGTATACTCACCTGACAAAAGTCTGTATATTTTAAATATATCTAGTTTGTAGTGTTCCAGTAAGTGATTACTTGGCAATGAAAATGACAATAAGAATGAAAGGAAGTGGGAACCTTCAGAACAATACAAACTACATGCAATGTTACTTTATTATTGAAAAGTCTCAGTATGAATTGTGAGGTCAAATACATTTAGTACTGGTAATGATTACAGTGTATTGAAGAATCAAACAAACCAGAAGATACAAGGTTCAGATTTCGCATTCCAATGGTAGCACTTGGATTTTGTAATCGAAACACATCATCTCTATATCTTTGTGAGTTTTGTATTGCCCTCTTCCTCTCATGAATCACATTCAATATATGTGGAGGTAAAACTGCAATACAAAAAGTTGACGTGGGGCTTTGTATTTTTCTTTAAAAAACATGAACAATATTTGTGAGATGATGTTTTTCAAATATATTTCATTTATTGATAACATAGAAATCATCATTCCGAGGCTCTCAGTAAAATACACACAGCCATCCCTTTAAATAATAATAAAATCGATATGTATCTGACTGCTCCTTAAAAAACATAAAAGGTATCGAAACAGATTGTAGACAGTCATATGGCACAATGAAACCTATGGCACAATGTATATTTAAGAATACTAACCTGACCTACTCGTAGATATTTGTGGAGGTTTTTTATCTGAAACACAAAATTATATTTATTCAATACAGGACAGTCCAAATAACAGTTCTTCCCAAAGGTAGCGTAATGAGGCAGTTAATGCAAAAACTTTAATCAATCTGATGGCATCCGATTTGTAATATCATAAATGATTCTTATTCACTTTTCCATGGACACTTTAAAACTGTGATTTGTTTGAAAAAATAAGAATAACAATTTATGTAGTTTCATAACTTTTGTCTCATCCTAAAGGTATTGGATATGCCTTACAAATAACTTAAGATCAGACTGTTTCCACATATTTGCTGATTACTTAAAATTGCAATATTGTACATGAGCATAGTAATTGATCCTAGATTTGAAAGTTAAAATATATCCAACTATCTTATTTCATTCGTTAACTTGAACTCACACAAGCATCACTTTGCTGTAAGCAAATCACTTACCCACAGCTTTCGACCCGCAGCCATGGCAAAACATTCCAACAAACCGTTCACCACATTTACAAAACATCTGTAAAACAGAAGCATTTAATGTAGGGAACAGCATTCTAATACATGTTTAACAAAAACTTCAAATATCATACTAAATATTTCTAAATCAATCATTTTTTTTGTTTCCATATTACCTGACTGTTAATTTAATAAATGCTATATTGTATGTTAAACATGGAACTTATACACCCCTCGGGGTGTCTTTTCATGTCAACGTAAAACACTGTATTTGAAACATTTGAAATAAAGTGAATTGAATTGAAATTGAATAATTATAGTATGGATTGCTTTGCAAAATTACACTAATTTAATATGCAAAGTGTCAATCAACAGTAGAATTCTATGATTTTATCAGTCATTCCATTTGTATTCACCTTTGGACATTATTGTTATCCAATGACTTTGCACTCCCTGGTTGATGGGAAAAATGATCTTCATAGGCTATTATGTATTTATCATGCAACGTTACATTGCCTGGATATTTATGATAGTGATATTGAACAGGTTGCCAATATAAGCGACTATTGTTCAGAGACAACCCAGTGAACAACCCATTGAGGCTCAGCAAACAATACAGAAACAGGAAGAAACATAATTTGAAATTTCAGATTAAAGTCATTTATTTTTAAATTAAATCTGTGGTTATCTTTGCTTACAATTTTAGCAGAGTAAGTATTGTCAATGGGGTCCTACAGTGACATCCACTTTCCATTAAGTTACAGTATATAAATACTTAACGGATTTAAAATTCTATAATAAATAGAAATAAGGGAATCTTAAGAAGGCCCTTGTAGGTTCTTTTTTACCTTTAAAATTTCAATAAATGATCAAATAACATCAAACTTCAGATTTTCAAATTACAAAGTTAGTTGCTTGGTTTATAAAGCAGTTATCGAGGTAGTTTCCAAGTAAATTAATAAGTTAGCTACCAATTTAGATGTATTTATCAAATTAATTACCAACTTAATTACAAACCAGGTTATTTAGTTACTTACTAAGATGGTTGGTTGATTGGTTGGCAAATTACACATGATGTTCGAAAGAAAAGTTTGATTTGAAAGTCGACCTTTAGAGGACAGTATAATTTTCTTTGTTCATACCTTCAGGCCCGTAGCCAGGGGGGGGGGGAGTTCGGGGGAGTTCGGGGGGTTCGGGCGAACCCCCCCCCCCTGGCCAAAATTTCGTTCAAAATCATGCAGTTTTTCACCATTCTGACTATTTTTTGAGTGATTTTTGGCCAAATTTGCAAAAGTGAACCCCCCTAGCATTTTTGGGAAAAGTGAACCCCCCTTGGAAAATTCTGGCTACGGGCCTGTACCTTACTAGGTATTTTGTACTTTTAAGCTAACATATAAGGTAAAAATAATGATGAAACTCAAAACTAATGTCAGATTTGAACTTATGCAAACTGATGTTTCATTTACCTTTATAGTATGATATAAACATTACATATTTCAACCAAAGATATTGATGTGTATTCTAGAACCTTGAGAAACTTAGACAACACAATTTGTGTTTATGCTTACCTAAAAATAAAAGTTAAATACCTCTCAAACGTCATATTAAGTGAACCAAATAATGAAACTCAAATCTCAAGCCAGATAGGAAATTATGTAAACTGATGTTTTACCTATAACATGATGTAAACTTTACATAATTCAACCCAAAATATCTATTTGAAAACTTTGAGAGACTAAGGCAATACAGTTAGCGATTAAGCTAAACTAAAAATCAAATTTGATGACCTCTTGAGGATCATTTAAGGTCAACCAAATGTCCAATCTCAAATCTGAAGTCAGATTTGAATTTATGTAAACTGATGTTCTATCGTAAATAACATAACATAAACATACATATTTGGATGTGTTTGTCTATTGATCATTTTTTCATATAAGTGAAATGAGACTTCTCATGTATATGAGTCTGAGACTCGTAAACATTATTTTTGGGTTGAAAGGGGTGCTAGTCTTGTATCAAGCCCTTGGCCTCTAGTACCTCACAATTGTGCCATACATGTAATTGGATAACTTCCTGTTCAACTGATCTAGCATCACAAAACAGCAACCTTAGCCCCAAACCTCATCACACCTTACACACAGAAATTACAATCCAATTACAATTACAATGGATAAAGATATTAGAGTGAAACATTATGCAATATATGCTAAGGCATTATACCTAATGGTGTTGCCCTGAAAATTGCATTCTCACCAGTGAGTCCCCTTAAAAAGATAAAAGTCACAATATAAACATTATCTCTTTGACACGAAAATGATTGGGAATTGACCTTTGGATGTAGTTGTGCTATTTCCCATTATTTGTACATCTTTGAAGCTCATAGAAATGTCACCAGCCACTACTTTGGAAACACCACACAATCCTTTATAAGCATGTCCCCTGATATGTGCATATATGGTATAATTTGTATTGGATAGGATCATACATGGTTCAATATGCACTAAAGACACTTCATTCCTGGCAATAAAAGATAACTTGTTAGCAGACACCTCAGTGTCATTGTTCACAATGCCAAGTTCAAGGTGGATTAAGCTGTAAGGCTCCGTGAAAATACCAATACCTTTCAAAGTGCAATCACAATTGCTAGAGAAAATAATTGAATCACCAGGAATAGCTGATGATAGAATGGAATTTGGTGATTTTTTCTTCCCTGGCATCCTTTCAATTCCAGTTATTTGTTCATCAACTATAAAGTCCCTTAAATAGGGAGAAAATGGAACAGGCTGCTCCAACTCTTCAGCCAGCAGACATTTAGTGATGACAGTTTTCACTGATTCAGGAAAAAGATTGAATGTTCCCTGTATGGAAACTTGGAGGAATCTAATATCATTTCGAAAAATATCCACTGTTTTTCCATTGTGTTGACACCACATGTCCAAAAATTCGAAAATCTCATTTTCACGGGCACTTAGAGTTTGTCGTGAAATAATTCCTCTTATGAGCTCACCTGTCAAATTGAGAGCAGCTGCACTTTGAAGTAGTGACGTGAAATGACTATCAATGTAATTTAGCATAGTGTCCACAACACCTAATTCAACATAATGAGAACTTATTTGATAATGAAGAACACAACTTTCCTCATCTAGTTCAGTACTGATGTGTGCTGCAATGCATTTCAAAAGATTGGGCATCTGCAAATAACTAGCTACTTGGACAATGTCAGAGAGTGACCCTGTCTCCCAATCTATGTCATCAGTGTACATAAAGGTTAGGCACACCTTCAATGCTTCTTGGTTTAAATTATTGAAGATATGATTTTCTTGCTTTTGTGCCCCAGATCGTAAATTATGGTTGAAAGTGTTTTTTGATTTAAAATAATCGCTTTGTAATTGCAAAATAAGATTGTGGCTTTTCACAACAAGTTGGTCTCCAATGAAGAGTTTGATATCACACTGTTCATCTTGATTATCAAATGATTCTCTCAATAAATCCATGGTTGTCATTTTGACATGTAATAAGTTAAGCTACATCAAATCAGACAATTCAGATTCACACAATATGTACCTTTGGACACTCTTCTTCTTCTGTTCACTGCTGTTCCTGCAAAAAAACAATAGAGTATGATGTACATAATTGATTGATTGATTGATTACAGGTACCACATATCTGATAAATGTTTTAAATTTATTAAAGAGGCCCTATGCCATAGGATAGCACAATCAAGACCCCTCTGGACTTTTTTGGAATATTGAGTTTCACTAAATATATACACATCTTCTTACTAAATAAGAAGTCCCAAATACAACTCTTTCAGTGTTAATTTTTGCGATTGTGCTGGCAGATCTAATTATTTTCAAAGAAATTAATCCAATGTGAAGTTTGAATATACCAGGAAAGTCATCCTGTTATCTGATTGGTCGTTGAATTTTTTTATTATAAAACTGATTGGCTGCCTGGTTCAAGGTGCTCGTGGGCGCTTGTGTGACTCAATGGGGATTCCCCTCGCTAGCCGAGGAAACAATTGTTTCATTCTGGAGTTTGGTTGTTCTTGTTCTGTGTATTTCTGATATCTTTACGTTCATGACTGTCAAAATGCAAAAATAATTTGCATCGATTGGTTATCAAGTTCACCAAAATGCAATAAAGGCCGTAAACTGTGTAATAAAGAAGCAATTAAAAATTCTTTGCAATGGAGCAAGGATGAATGCATTAAGTGCGTTGTTAAAAATGAAGAATGCAACTAAAGACAAAATTTCACTTTTATTAGGTATCCTCTTCAAATGGATGAATATAATTCAGTACCCAATATGCCTCACTCTATGAAATATTACAAATTCAAACTCAAAAATGACTTTTAATATCCGCACCTTGTGCACATGATATCCATACCGCTTGTTTTTGTATAGCACAGTCTGCATAGGGTGTAGCCATACTTTGAAGAGATATATTTGCAATCTACTCTAATTTGACTTTCATTTGAGTATTATATACATCAATTTTGAGAAAGATCTCAAAATTGATGTAAATTCCTGTTTCACAACTACCATATATTGCCCTCGGGGCTCAGGGTAGAAATCTTGGAATATATGACAAATTGATAAATTTAGGTATGAAAACAGTCACGTCCGAACATTTGCACAATTGTATTGATTTTAAATTCAAAGAAATGAATTGTGTAGGGACAAGGGCAAATACTCACCAGCTCATTTATGATATTTTTTAAATTCAAACATTTTGGGAATATTTATTATGATTTGGAATAGAACATAGGCACAGGGCAGGCCCGTAGCCAGGGGGGGTTCGCAGGGACCCCCCCCCCGGCCAAAAATTCTTTCAAAATCATGCAGTTTTTCACAATTTGAGCACTTCTCAAGTGATTTTAGTCATATTTGGGCCAAAATTGTCAAATGTGAATCCCCCCCTGGAAATTTTTGAAAACTGAACCCCCCCTTGGGAAATCCTGGCTACGGGCCTGCAGAGAGTCAGTCAGTCCTCCATAAAAAGACAGGGATACCCTAAAGATTCAAGATTTATTCAGAAGAAATGAAGAATTATACAATCTAGGGGATACCCTATGGCTCGGTATAATACTAGACTGACTCTCTGTGAACATCGAAGACGAGGTGACCATGACCTGCTACCCATCACCTGTAGCCTCCCACATGGACAAAATAAGTCGCTCGACTATACTCGTAGGTTACCACGGGCGTAGCGCCCGGTACGCTAGGTACGCACAGGCGTACCAGATGGTTGCAAATTCGCTCCAAATACAACCAAATTTCAAAATTTTCTTGGGGGGAACACCCAGACCCCCCTGAATGCTCGTTTTTTGATTCACTCAACTCTTGTTCCTGTGGTGGTGGCGTACTACTTAGAAAAATAGCGCTACGCCCATGGTTACTTTTCAATTAGGCTAAGCGTGTTGCTGGGGGAGCGGTTATTCAGTTTCCTGCACAGAATTTCTTTCAAAATCATATTGTTTTTCAGCAAAACTAACCCCCTCCCCCACTACCCCTTCGTTTCTGTGATAACCAAATACATTTCTATTGATAGATCCATAAAAATAGTAGCCTACATACCAACCTCAATTAACTAGTGTACTGTTGAACTTCAACTTGAAGAACTCTCTCTCTGAAGCTTTGATTAGTCTTGTGGATTGTCATGAGACATGACTCATGACACGCCACGTGTAATCTGTATGCATACGCCCTCTTTTAATGAACATTATCTTTGAAACCATATTAGAATCGAATCTGATTAAAAAGTGCGCATCGTGGTCCTGGATGTGCTGCGCGCTAGAATCAGGAAATCTCAAAGTTCTCCTCGTTAGAGCCATCAATATTATCCAAAATTGTCATTTCGTTGGTTCACTGCGCAGTCTTTCGAAAAAAATCAAATTCGTGGTGCTACGAATTTTTATTCGTTATTTATTCACAGATAATCATTTTTTCATCGCGCACTGAATGCCGGAATTTCTGCGCACTTTATTTTAATTAACTTTGCAAAACGCGGCCCCTGTAATTCATTCAGTGCGCGATGAAATCTATCTGACTGGGCCGCGGTGTGTGATATGACTCCCATGTTAAAACTCCATTCGATTTTGAATTATGCGCATGTCCCCTATAGCTTTCCGTAAATAAGAGATGGGAACAACAAATTGTATCCTGTTTTCTTATGGCTCTCTGCTTACAGTAATTCAAAATTACATTATTGCAAATAAGTCAGTCTCTTTATCTGTTTAAACCCAATGTCATCAATTCTCATAACAAGAACGAGTTCTTGGGAAAGGCAATATACTGTAAGGTTTTGTACTTAGGTGGTTCAAAAAGTTTTGCAGTTGATGCCATAACTTCAAGGAAAATAGGACTTTTGCAATGAAACTTAGTACACAAATGTGTTATATATTTATACATTATATGGGTAAATTTGGGACCTCAATTTTTATTGGTTTTTGAGAAATGGTTATTATGGTAACCAGAGTGGTGGGTACCATGTTCAACCCGAAATTACGTTTTTCCAAATAGTTTTCTTGCTTGAATAAACTCTTTGTAAAGTGGCAATTAGCAGGTGTAAGTGTCTTTGGGTGGCTATTTTTCTTCAAATTCTTCAATTTTTCTAATTGTCTCTATGACATCACAATAGACAAGTGACACGGTAAGTTCCTTTGTGATGTATACTGTCCAAAACCCAGTTGAAAAATTGAGATGGAAAAGTGAGGAAATTTTGAATTTCTTTTCCAAAATTTTCAAAATGGCAGATGTTTCCACACCAACCAAATTGATGAAATGGAAGCATAGAAATCTGATACAGTACATGGTTCAAAATGGCAAGACTTTGCAAGGGACTTATGAACTGGTTCAGGGAGCATTTGGAAATGATGCCAAAACGTATCCAGAAATAGCCTAGATGCTGCAAGACGCGCTTCCTTTTGCTCCACTGTGAGGAATTTTGCAACCCACTTTGCATGTACCGCTTTTTCAAGATCTTTGTGACAATTGTATGCATGGCAGGACCCCTTAGATATATCCAGTAAATCACTTATTTCCTCTAATGAAATATGTCTGTCCTGCTCTATAAGAACTTTTATCTTTTCCCTTACACTTACACCTGCTAATTACCACTTTACAAAGAGTATCTCAAGAACCAATCAAAATTTTTCAATATCGGGTGTTCACTGTTCAAGTTTGGAGGTGTTCCACAATTGACATTAAGTCAATGGGTTTTCAAAACGGGACTGAAAAAGCGTTCCACTTGCAAGGTGTTCCACTTACGGAGATGTTCCACTTACCAGGTTCCACTGTACATGTAAGTGATGGGAACATGTACAGTACATTTACATTGTGTATAAGTGATGGGAGCATGTACAGTAAATGTACATTGTCTATAAGTGATGGGAGCATGTACACTAAATGTACATTGTGTATAAGTGATGGGAACATGTACAGTACATGTACATTGTGTATAAGTGATGGGAACATGTACAGTACACGTAAATTGTGTATAAGTGATGGGAACATGTACATGTACATTGTGTATAAGTGATGGGAACATGTACAGTACATGTACATTGTGTATAAGTGATTGGAACATGTACAGTACATGTACATTGTGTATAAGTGATTGGAACATGTACAATACACGTAAATTGTGTATAAGTGATGGGAACATGTACATGTACATTGTGTATAAGTGATTGGAACATGTACAGTAAATGTACATTGTCTATAAGTGATGGGAGCATGTACACTACATGTACATTGTGTATAAGTGATGGGGACATGTACAGTAAATGTACATTGTGTATAAGTGATGGGAGCATGTACAGTACATGTACATTGTGTATAAGTGATGGGAACATGTACAGTACATGTACATTGTGTATAAGTGATTGGAACATGTACAGTAAATGTACATTGTCTATAAGTGATGGGAACATGTACAGTACATGTACATTGTGTATAAGTGATGGGAACATGTGCAGTACATGTACATTGTGTATAAGTGATTGGAACATGTACAGTAAATGTACATTGTCTATAAGTGATGGGAACATGTACAGTACATGTACATTGTGTATAAGTGATGGGAACATGTACAGTACATGTACATTGTGTATAAGTGATGGGAACATGTACAGTACACGTAAATTGTGTATAAGTGATGGGAACATGTACATGTACATTGTGTATAAGTGATTGGAACATGTACAGTACATGTACATTGTGTATAAGTGATTGGAACATGTACAGTACACGTAAATTGTGTATAAGTGATGGGAACATGTACATTGTGTATAAGTGATTGGAACATGTACAGTAAATGTACATTGTCTATAAGTGATGGGAGCATGTACACTACATGTACGTTGTCTATAAGTGATGGGAGCATGTACAGTACATTGTGTATAAGTGATGGGAACATGTACAGTACATGTACATTGTGTATAAGTGATGGGAACATGTACAGTACATGTACATTGTGTATAAGTGATGGGAACATGTACATGTACATTGTGTATAAGTGATGGGAACATGTACAGTACATGTACATTGTGTATAAGTGATGGGAACATGTACAGTACATTTACATTGTCTATAAGTGATGGGAGCATGTACACTACATGTACATTGTGTATAAGTGATGGGAACATGTACAGTACATGTACATTGTGTATAAGTGATTGGACCATGTACAGTAAATGTACATTGTCTATAAGTGATGGGAACATGTACAGTACATGTACATTGTGTATAAGTGATGGGAACATGTACATGTACATGAACACTGAGCTAAGCTCCACATGTCACCTGTATTCAAAGAATAATAGAGGATCCCGAGAATGGTGAACAAATAGATCTATTTCATTTCAAATTATATGTAGTTTAGTCATTGGAAATGATCTATTTTATTTCAAATTTTTATTTCAAATTATATGTAATTTAGTCATTGGAAATGATCTATTTTATTTCAAATTATATGTAATTTAGTCATTGGAAATGATCTATTTCATTTCAAATTATATGTAGTTTAGTCATTGGAAATGATCCATTTCATTTCAAATTATATGTAATCTAGTCATTGGAAATGATCTATTTTATTTCAAATTTTTATTTCAAATTATATGTAATTTAGTCATTGGAAATGATCTATTTCATTTCAAATTATATGTAATCTAGTCATTGGAAAAGATCTATTTTATTTCAAATTTCTATTTCAAATTATATGTAATTTAGTCATTGGAAATGATCTATTTTATTTCAAATTATATGTAGTTTAGTCATTGGAAATGATCTATTTCATTTCAAATTATATGTAATCTAGTCATAGGAAAAGATCTATTTTATTTCAAATTATTTGTAATCTAGTCATTGGAAAAGATCTATTTTATTTCAAATTATATGTAATCTAGTCATTGGAAATTACCATACCAGTCCATTGAATTTGGGAAGTTGAACACCTTTAATTATTCTCCACTTTCATTTTTGATCATAATGTAAAACTCGATCGTGTCAAGTGACAAACATTTTTAAGAATTCATCTCCAATCATTGAACATAACTAAAAACCTATATTTACAAATATATTGCAATGTCATGAAATATATGTATCATGTTAGTATACATAGAAACATATCCAAAGAATATATATTTGTCATGGCCATTAACATACATTATGACATATACAGTGCAAGTATCAATCATAAGTGCACACTTCCATTTATTTACATGGAAATTTACAAAATAATTTCAGTGAAGTAGATGTTTATGTATCTTGGAAGTACCCTATTCATTTTGTACACACATGTAAGCAGCATGAAACTCTACATAAAATAACAACTGTTTGTGTATGTTTGTACATTTGTTTGTACAGTTTAGAGGCTATTATACCAAATTATAAATGATTCTTTTAAAATTTACTATTGTATATTTTGGTCAGGAAAGTCAAATTGAATATACATTGTAAATCAAAAAATGAAGCCATTGGCCAGGAATACATTGTCAATCGAAGTGTTTCAAACATTTTTCTTTGAATTTAAAGAAAGCAATGAGTAAGAAACAAGTAACTATTGTCATGTATAAAATGGAATAAAAAGAGGAAAAAGAAGGAACATAGCAAGAAATAAAGTAAATGATAAATTATAGGGTGAGCCAGAAAAATGTAACCCAAATGAATGTGAATGACTCCATCTTCCAACATGGATTTGAACCTATATTTGGCACAATTTAACCTTGTTCAATGTTCTTTCATTCTACTAAGTTTCATCCGTCTACTTTTTATGGTCATGATTTTATGGCCATTTAAACAAACCAAAGGCCGGGAAGAACCCCACTCTTAGAGACCAATGAAACTTGGTAGAATAAAAAAACACTAAGGTTAAGTTGTGCCAAATATGATTTTAAACCCATGCTGGATGACTGAGTTATTCACATTTGTTTTGGTTACTTTTTTTGGCTCACCCTGTACAATGTGCAGCACCAGGCGTGTATAAGCAACAAACATTGTGACACAGATAATAATTATACTAAATTTCTTAACATATTGCTGTGCAAAATAATATTAAAATATACATAAATTAAACTTATAAAAAAAAAAATTAACCCGTTTTCTTAAACCCTTTGAACAATGAACAAAATTGCTTTTAAATGTTTAAAGTTAAAGGATCTAGTGCCCTCTCCATTATGATCTCCCCATGAAAATGAATATACAGTACTGCTTTTATTATTACATTT